TTCTATGATTCTATGATTCTATGATTCTACTGTTGTTGTTTTTAATTCCTAAAGTCTTGTTATACACTTATTCATTATTTTAGCTACTTCTCTGCATGGAGTTTGACATCTGTGGGCCCTTTGTTAACATGGCCTCACAAATTACATCAGCCACTTCAAAAAGCTGTTTTGTCCTCTTTACTGGAAAGGGCACTGTTAGCACTGACTTGGCCGTGACTAGTCTTGTCCCCATCCCTTTAGGTTCCCTGTGGTCTTTTTTGGGCAGAAGCGTATCAGTTGGTGTGAGAGAGATCAGTGTGGAAGATGGTAGCTAGGACATACATGGATTCCCATGGGAGAAGAAGAAGAAATGAAGTACAGAAGCTAGAGTAATCTCCTCCCTCCTACCTTAATAACCTTGTCTGTCCCCGAGGTCAGCAGCCATCCTCTAGTGGCATCAAAGTGTACATGAACTATGTTGTGCTTACTGTCGTGGAAAGTAGCTGTGGGTGCCCGCCTTGAAGAAAGAGATCCCAAATCAGCAAAAAACACAGCTGCCAGGTATCAAGGAAACAAGCATTTGAAGCAAGCACTGATCTGTTATGCACTGATTGGACTTCTGCTAATGGGACCCAGGACCACCCCACTGGCTGCTCCCTCCCCAGCCCTGCAGCCACTCGGGCCACCCACACCCTCCCAGTTACAGGCATTTTGTCCCACTCCAGCTCTAGGCTGCTCGGCACCCACACTTACTCCTCATCTGTTATGGACTCGTGGCAGCTATCGCAGACCCTCACTTCAAACTCGAACCCCATCAGCGGGATGGAGGAGCGCTTGGAGCTGCACTTGCCGCAGACGGCTTTCCCGCATTTGCGGCAGTGATGCTGTGGGAGACAACACGGGAAAGGACATCTTCAGTCATGAGCCTGGGGATGGGTTGCTGTTCTGCTCCCAGCTCTCCCATCTCACTTTCACAGGGCTCAGCTGAGGTTGCAGCAAAAAGGAAAGCTATTCTTCCAATGGGAGGTGAAGGAAAATGGTCATCTTCATATACACCCACCTTCTCCTAGCCATGTCCATCTTCTGAGTCTCTCTTTGGGGGAGTAGGGGTCTACACCCTCAGTGAGCAATAGGTACCGTATTAAAATATGTCCAGCTCAAAGTAGCACAGGGTACACTGGTACAGTATAACTCCAGAGACTCAGCCTATCTGTCTAAGTACAAATGCACATCGCCTGATCATCTCAGTCAACTCTGCTGGCCATTTTCAGCCACTGTTCAGTACCACAGTTTCTGCATTTTGATACTACCTGTATTCTGTTTTCTCACACACTGACTGCATAGGACCAAGGGCTGCTGTGCCTGTCATAGGAGAGCTAGGCCCTGTAGTGACAAGCGTTAAATAAAGGGGAAAGGGCAGCTTAGCTGTGGCCCAGACACCTGTTTCAAGGCCCAAGAGGTCACCCTTTCCTGCCTTTTCATGCCCCTCTCCCAGAAGACCACAATCCACAGCCTTCTCCTGTTGGGCAGGGATGTGCAGCAGTATTCCAAGCAGACCAGTAAGTCTCTTCCAACACAGCTTAAACAGTTACAGATGTTTACCCAAGCCCATTAAAAACAGCTTTAGTTCCAGCACGATCTCCAAGAATTAGCTGCAAATTTTTTTCTACAACAGATTCAGATGACAATAAGCAAAATCCCACATGGCTAAAGCTACAGACAGCCCCAAAACAATTTACTCAGCTCAGACTCAATCATACACATTTGCTATTGGGACAGGCTGCCAAAATTAAAAAGAAAAAAAAAAAGAGAAAAACCTTCTGCTTCTCATGAGTATGAATCATTGAGGGGAGCTCACTATCCTGTTATTGCTAGAAGAACAAAGAGAAAGTTCTCAAGCCTTTATAGGAAAAAAAGACTACCATAACATACTATGAGAGAGAAGGAGCCTAATTGCATCATATTAACACAGCAAAGGACCCATACAAACCTGCCTGAGGCCTATTTTCTTACTGTCCCACATTTGCTTGAAGTTCCAGAAGAAAGGCTGGTCACATTTTTGACAGGAGTCGCTGTCCAGCCACTCAGGGGTCTGTAACACACACATACACAGGTGGAGGACATGAGAAACCAACTTCCACCACAATCCAAGGATAAGGAAGATGTGATGGAGTGCAATAATGTGGTCAGCTGAACTTGATTAAAACTCCCCACTGATCATTCTACCTGATGAAGGGGGTTTTTTTTTGGCTCAGCTCTGAGCCTTGAAGTATGCACGAGGAACACTTCTCATTCACCACATGAAGCAGAGTCTGATTATAAATCCATAAAAATAACCCAGGAACAAATAAGCCTCCCCAGCCTCTTCAAGTTTGGAATTAAGTATCTAAAAATTAATGTCTTGTCTGGACAGCATTAACCATCTGCACTGGAGGTAATTATATTTCCAGTATCCAAGCTACTCCAAGAGGCATTCATTCCTGCTGTTAGAGATACCTGTGCTGCGAATCTGACAAGGCAGGCAAGATGGGATTCTGAAGAAGCCCGAAACCCAAAACACCTCTTTTCTCTGCTTTCACATACAGATGATGAAAGGAAAGCTTTCTGTTTCCTAATTCCATGTGTAGATTTGCACTCATGCTGTGGGTGAAGTGGGTAAAAAGATTTAAAGAATATAAAGAAAATATTAAAGGCCTTTCTCCCTCCTGCAGCCAGGTTTTGCTGTAAAGAGTAGCAAGGATGGATTCCCCGCAGGGAAGCACTCTCACCAGACACTGAAGGAGCTCAGGAAATGCCTGAAATGGCAGGAGGGCTTGTGGAGGAAGCGAATGACCTCCTCCCCTACTCTTGGGTCCCCTGACACGTGCCTTGCTGGTGGACATTCAGTGCTTCTCCCCACAGACTTCAGGAAACACAGCTTTGGGCCGGAGACTCCAAAAGAGTCGTGGTTTCTGCATTTGCAGAGGGCCACCAAAATGATCCAAGGGATGGAACACCTCCCCTACAAGGAGAGGATGAGAGAGCTGGGGCTGTTCAGCCTGGAGAAGAGAAGGCTCCAGGGAGAGCTGAGAGCAGCCTTTCAGAGTTAAAGGGGAACAGTAAGAAGGAAGGGGACAGACTCTTTAGTAGGGTCTTTTGTGATACAACAAGGGAAAATTGGGAAATTCAGACTGGATATAAGAAAGTTGTTTTTTACAATAATGGTGGTGAGGCAGTGGCACGGGTTGCCCAGAGAGATGGTGGATGCCCCATCCCTGCAGACACCCAAGGTCAGGCTGGACAGGGCTCTGAGCACCTGATGGAGCTGTAGGTGTCCCTGTTCAGTGCAGTGGGGAGTTGGACCGGATGGCCTTTAAGGGTCCATTCCAACTCAAAAATTCTATGATTCTATGATTTGACCCTTCTCCATCTGTCTGTCCATCCATCTGTACTATTTGGGCATAGCAGGAGTTCTTGAACAGGGGATGACTTCTGCTCTTCTCACCTCACCAGCAGGACTAGATCCCAAGGACAAGGGTTCAGCCCAAAGTGGTGTTGGTGAGCAGGTTTGTCCCATCCCCAGAGAGGGACAACCCTCCCAACACTGCCTCAGCATGCTCCTACCCAGCCCCAACTGGGCAAGATTGAACAAAATACCAAGTAAAGTTCAAAGTGAGGCTGCCCCTCCAAATAAACTCCACTTGGCTTCTTCCATATTGGAATTTAAAAAGGCAAGAAATGCAGCTGAGATTGAGAATTAAAAATACTATGAAGGCCAGACAAAGATAAGGGAAGGCGGATGGAGACCCTCAGATCCCATGGCAGTTTTGACCCCCAGCAATAAACTCAGGCAACTCTGAGCTTCAGCTTGTTCTGTCAGTTACTTTGAATGCTGTTCATTCTGTAGGGGCAAATCTCTCTCTTTTCTATCCACAACAGTCTTTTAGACTAATGCCTACAGATCTGCATCTGAACACTACACATGAAGATGTTTTGCTTGTGACAAGGAACTGCTTTGTAGTCAAATAGAAACACAGCTTCCAGCATTTTTCAGATGTTTTCTTCTCACAGCTTTTTAAAAATAGATAAAAATAAGGAATCAAGCAACAAAATGGCATAATTCACTCCAGTGCAATCACAGAGACGTGGGAAAATCTTATATCAAACTGAAAACAGCACACATCCAGTGGAAAAAAAAAGGAAAAAAAACTTATTTAAAGGGGAAAATAGCAAAGCCAACATCCAAGTATTTGATAATCACATCTCAAGGGTTCATGTTTTGGGGGTGGTTTAACACAATGGTTGCCCTGCTACGCTATGGATAACATGAACAAGCCCACGTTGCCATAGTCAGAGAGCACCACACACATCAGCACCTGCTGCTAAGCCCTCCTGTAGCTCATTATACTTCCCCTCCACTTTTTAACCAGTCTTCTCACATTACTGTTGTCTGTTTTGCAACCAACCAGTCTTAACCCTTACTGCAGGCTGCCAATAAGTAAGTTTTCCATTTCTGGATGTTCAGGCTGCAGCAAAAAGGAAACATCTGTTGGGAGGGAAAAACCCACTCTGCTTTTGTTTCACTTTTGGAGCTGATGATATAATTGGCCATTAGATTAGCAATTAAAGAGAGCCAACTGGAATGCTAATTCACAGGAAAAAAAAAGGGAGCAAGAGTAGCTCAGTTCCTGCTTAGGTCTGTTTGAGTAGGTTTTTAAATCCAATTTTCCACTTATCTTTTTTCCTTGCTCAAGGGAGACATGCACAACCCAGGGAGACCAAAACCTTGGTGGAGAAGCAGCAAAGCTGATTACAGATTGTGCTGCCAAAAGCAGCTGGGAAAAACTTGCTGCCCTTATCCTTCCTTGCTTTTCTCTAATCTTAATTACAGTGGTCTTCCCCACCAGGCACTAGAAGGAACAGGTAAAGGGATGTACTCAGATGTGTATTTCCAGATGCATCTTTCCCAGCCACAGCCCCACACTGGCTGGGAATAAAACCTCACCCCAACTGACTCAACTGACCCACCAGGGGTATTCAGGGTCTCAGTGTCCACCCAGAGAAATAGGGCAGAGCATTAGGAATAGCTGTTGCCCCCATGCAGAGATTCGCTGTGACTCATTTTACCAGGATTTGCCATATTCAGGGCTAGGGCTGGAGCCTGACTCTCTCGCTCGTCCTGCTGAGTCAGGTCTTCAAAACTGCTGAGCAGAGACTGTTCCTGCAGCACAAAGACCTGGGGTACATTTTGCACTTGTTTGCATCCGTTGGCTGCACAGCACCAAGGTGGTTGGGAACGTGTAAGTGAAATCTTACTGTCTGTATCAGCAATGCTGTCATCTACCCACTTCCATATGGCTATACCAAAGGGTAGCAAGGCCCAGTAGTAGCAGGTGAGAGTGAAGCCATAAATAAACGTCTTTTCAGCAAGAATAGAGGGGAAACCAACACTGGGTTGCACATTTCCAGAGATAACGAAGAACTTTCTAGTTCTGTTTTCTTAACAAAAATCCCAATAATTATCAATCTGTCCATTTACCTCTGAAATGACAGCATTTCTCATGATGTCCTTAAAAATAAAGAGGACACCTTCAGAGCAGTAACATAAAGGACAGAAACCATTTAGCAGCTTACTTAATACACATTTTCTGCCAGATAATTTCCCCTGTACCATATTATCAAAGGCATGGCATAATTGCTGTATAAGAACTGGAGCATATCCAACAACATTTTTAATGTCTGAAAAGTTCTTATTCTAATTGAAAGCTGCACACGTTAAAAAGGCCACTTTCTTCCCAAGACTGCTTCAGACAGAATTAGCAAGAATCATGCCCCTACCTCCTGTCTCTCAACATCCATGTTCCAGACAACTATTCCCCCGTCGGCACCACAAGAGATGAGCTGCCGAGTGTGGTGAGCGTAGGAGAGAGACTGAACTTTATCACTGGAAAAGAAACAACGCAGTTACAAATCAACCATTTAAAGCTAGCACAAAAGTAAGGACAAAACATACAATAAAGAATCAAGAACCATGGAATCATAGAACGGCTTGGGTTGGAAGGGACCTTAAAACCCATCCAGTCCCAACCCCCTGCCAAGGGCAGTGCCAACCAGCAGCTCAGGCTGCCCAGGGCCCCATCCAACCTGACTTTGAGTGCCTCCAGGGAGGGGGCACCCACAGATTCTCTGGGCAATGTAAATCATTCATTTGCCTGCATGTTTGTTTTTTTTTCCCCCCCATTTTCAATGCAGTTCCGGTATTCATCGGAAGCAAACTGAAGCCTTTGCTGTCCAGTTGGAACCAAAACCAGAGTGCTGCTCACTTAGGCAACATCCACAAAATCAAGGACCTGTTCTGACAACTGGTTGCACTGCTCCTGAAATTGAGAGTTGAGCTGGGAAGTCAAAACAGAGCTGTAGCTTCAGGGGCTTTCCCAAAGCCATCTGAGTGCATAAATGTAGCCTTAGGGAGTTCCATTCTCTTCAGTAGGTCAATAACACTTGATTTTGGTAAACCTCTGCAACATCTAGAGATGAAGCGCTAAAGAACTACTGAATCTTTTCTTTTAGCACTAATTAGCATTATAAAAATAATACAGGAATTGTTAAATTGTTTCTAAGCCTTCCCAAGATAAGGTAGATGATTTAGTTTATTTTCCTTCCTTTAAATAAAAAGTTGCATGTAAAAAACAATACAGCTTAAACCCAACCTGCTGATTCTATTGTCACCATTAATTGGAACATTTCTTGGTCCCCACTGCCATCAGGTCTCTATACTATACAGAGCCAGCCAACAGCCATGCTATGGATTAAGGTCCAGATGCTAACTTCATACTAAAACATCTAATTTCTATATTAATAAATGTAGCAGGGGTGCATTAGCAAGCATCAGTGTTAGGGTATGAGGATGATCTGGGGATTTCACAAAAGCTCTGCAGCGCTCTGAAATCCCAGTGGCCCAACAAAAATGTCCAGCAGAGTGCAGCATCACTCAAGAGAAATGTATGAATACATAAGAAGCTGTAAATACTGTCAGACCAAAACGGCCATGGGATTTTGCCTCTTCGAATCTGAGCCTGGCAAGCTATTCCCACATATATGCTCTGTCAATGCACCAAAAACCTGCTGTAAGTATTTAAAAGGCTTGGAAGTCATCACAGCTAGTGACACTCTAACTTACTCAGTGTCCAGAAAAAGATTACTCTTCTTCAAATACATCTATTGTACTATGCAAATGTGAGGTCTGTATGTGCTCTCTGCATTAAGGAGATGCTGCAGGCACATATGGATAAAGAACATTACTTACATTTCAGGCTGCAGGTAAAGTGAGATGGAAAACACATGGTTAACATGCAGCAAAATGGGACTAATTGTCCAAGCCTGATGCTCCCTCTAGGGGAAGGAAGGAAAGAAATAACCTGACGCCTAAAAAAGAAGGGATTTTCCCTCCAGCTGTTCTCATTTGTGGACGCCCCCTTTCCAACTGAGGTGCAGACTCCCATATTACACACTCTGGACTGTAGGTAACTGCTTTTTTTCACTACCTTTTGCAGACTTTCACATCAGCCCGTGATCTGGATGCTGAAAAACTTACTATAAGCCATTTATTCTCTTTGTATAAGGACCAAGGGGAGTCACACATGCAAGCTAAAGCCATGTGAAGATTGTAACCTCTGGGCTGGTTTTGCTTCCACATGGGGCAGGAGGAAGGGCGTTGAACGTACTTATGTCCTTGCAGCTCGATGGCTGTTCCTTTTTTTCCTCCAATATCCCACATTATAATGGAATGGTCAGAACTGCCTGAGAACAAAACTCGCTGTATTGGGTCCCAACAGAGAGCAGTGACACCGCCTGAAATAGGAGATTCATAGAACAGTCAATTAATTACAGAATGTAGCTTAACATATAGATACATATTTAAACATTATTAAAAAAAAAAAAAAAGAGTGATGAAAAATGTGGGTCTCTCTAGCAAGGGCCATGTAGCCACCGTACTGGCCATTTGGTAAGCAGCAGGCTAGAAATCCTACTGAAGTCCTGCCCTGCCCTTCTGTAGCCTCATGTGGGCAGAGTGGGCAGCAGAAAGCCACCACATGATGGTCAGAGTGTGATTGCACAGCTTTTCATCTCCGTCATTCCCAGGAGAGAGATTTTATTATAGAAGAGAAGCAAGTGAGGAATATTATCAGCAACCTTATCTAGAGGGAGGTGTCCCTGCCTATAGCAGGGGAGTTGAAACCAAATGATCTTAAAGGTCCCTTCCAACCCAAATCATTCTATGATTTTATGATTATGGGCATCTTCATAGTGCCTTAGCACATGGATTGAACTACCTTGTGATTGAGCTACAAATACGCAATCAAAGAGAAGGGATATGAAGAGAGGATGCTGAGCAATGCCCACCATTTCTTCCATTACATGGCAAGCTCATATCCCAGGGCTGCTGTTTTTGAAGTGTGATGGAGCACAAGTCCAAGTAGTAAAGCTATCAGCCAACATCCCCAGTAAGCACATTCAAGATACACCTTATCCACCTGGGCAATAGTATCCACCCATATGGGTCTTTCCCCAGGAAGCATCTTTCCCCCAGAGTTACTGCAACTTTTATCCTCACTCTGCATTAATGAGCTACTGATCATGGCATTTACTACACTTTTCAGAAGTGATCCCTCTCTTGTTTTCCCCAATAAAGAACAAGCTTTCCTGAGTGGTAGTGACAGTTTATCTCCCTTTCACGCTTCTGTTTCACAGGATAGTTACAGCACCTTGATGCTGAGCACAGGTGAAGAACCAAGTAGGGTCTCCTCCTCAAGCCTTACCTGTGTGCCCCTTAAATGTTGTCACCAGGCTGCAGGACTCTTGCTCTAATTTGAGTATGGTTACTTGCCCAGAATGATCACCAACAAACACGTGCCGGGTTTCCACATCAAATCTGATGTATAAATGCTGAGGAACATACGTTGTTTACACAAGCTATGCATTGCTTTTAATGGCCTGTTAATTCTTTTAACATGAGCGTTCTACAACCTTGTGAATAGCACTCTAGTCTCAAGGAGGTAAACAGAGCGTATTTTTAGGCATTAAACTCATAGTTGTTCATGTCAATAATGCAGTCTCCCCGAGTTAAACCAAACGGCAAAGAAAAAATATAAAAACAAAGTTACAAAACCTTGCAATAAGCCTTTTGCCATCAATGAGAAGTCTCATCTTCCCAGTATCTCCAGCTTAAGTTGGATGGTGTTCAATCTCCCTCTTTTCCCGTATTTCCAATATGGGGAAAACAACTGTTTTCAACTTCTTCTTTATATTTAAGTATACGAATACAACTCCTATCTTTTCTCAGAACACTACCCAATGTCACAGAAGTCCTCCAGAAGAATATGTCTGGTCTAGTGGTTGGCAACCCTGCACACAGCAGAGGAATTGAAGCTAGATGATCATTACAGCCCTTTTCAACCCAGGCCATTCTATGATTCTGTGAATATCTCCTTAAATGTTTTTAATACCAATTTGGTGGCAACATGGTCATGATGCAAGAACTAATCTCCTTTTCATGTCATATTTGGCAAGTGTTGGCTACATCGGATGTACCACACACCATATTCTAAATGGAGTAACATCCACCTACAGGAACCATCTATCTCAACAGATTCTGACCTCATTTGATTTAATTGCACATTTAGATTTCTTATTGCTTATTTAAGGAAAAGTTGCTTCAACTGATCAAGTGCACACATGACACTGTTGGAAAAAAAAACACATCCCAGGTTCTGCTAAGTTCTTCTGCAGTATTTGTCAAAGGTTGTCCTTTCCCCTGCCCTCCACCAGCAGGATCTGATGACCCAAATTAAAAAGTCCTCCATAATTTGGAACCTCTTGCAGCAGTCCTGCCTCTCTAGGGAGCTTTAGGAAAGGCAGAACAAACTCCTGCATTGCACTTTCTAAGCTCTTCAGAAAATTAACTAAAAATGGAGTTCACCCTCTAGGCCATTTAGATCAGTTTGCCCTTCATTCAGCCTGAGGTTACAATGCAAGCCCATATACTTCACTTATTTAATTCTGAGCCAGTCTCATTTCCTGCGAAGTAGCACAAAACATATCATCTACACTACATATGCTACAGGCCACTAAAAAGTCTATTTACTATAACCCCTGTTTCCAGCCTAAGAGCTCATACTTTTCCACATCCCTTTTCATTTGCAATAAAGCTGAATTAATATTTCTTTTATTGCTAGGCAGCTGGGGCAGCTCTAGGTGAATAAGGCACTTGAGTGCCATTTCTGGAGCCATTTATTCTTTAGTTAGCTCAAATTCCCAGAGCACAGTGGGCTGTTCCAGAGTGAAGGACGAGTGCTGATTATTTGATATTAAAGCCATTTAATTCTTACCATCATGCACAAATGCACACTGACCTGATCACTGACCTACTTTGTTACCATCATTTCTCAGAAAAAAAAAAGAATGTGCTGCATGTTTAAAACGAAGGCCCTGTCCTTATTTATTACAATGGCAGACCACAACAGGTTGCAGATTGCCCATTGTTTCGTTTAGACCTAAATATGCCACCCCGCATTAAAGAGACGAAGCAAGGAGAGCAGACAGTCGTTTTGTGTGTGTGGTTTTGGTTTTTTTTTTGCATTGGCTTTAGAGAACAGTTTCTCACAAAACACTGAACCTACACAAGGCACAAATGTTGGAGGACAGTTAGAAACAAAACCAAACAAACCAAAAGCAAACAAAAAAGTTGCTTAAGGGCCAAAGGGCAGCGCCAACACAGAGGGTTCAGCAAAGGATACTGTAGGCCGCAGGCCCCCGCGCTGGTGCGGTAGCCTCCCAGCCGCTGGCCGCTCTCTGAACAGTGCCAGGTGAAGTGCTTGTCATGGCCAGTGCTCAGCACCCACTCCATCTCCAGGACAAACAGAATCATGATGACCCTGCTTTGATGAGCTGAAAATTAAGCAGACAGACAAGTAGGACAAGTAGTCACGTGGCAAAGAACACACGGGCAGCAGACCATTGGAAATGCCGTCCTCTTGCACCCAGCCCTGCCATTTCATAGTCATCTGCACAATAACACTATTTTGTAGACCAAATTCTCAGCTACAAAACATTATTTTTCAACACAGTCACCACTGTTTGCTGATTTGTGCGGATGAACTGATTGAGACCCCCTTCATTATGCAGTATGACAACTATGCATGCCTGTCCAGAATACTGCTGGTCTTTTGCATTGCTGCCTTCACTGCACCACCTCACTGTGCTCACACCCTCTGTTTGGTATCCATAAACTTTCAGGAAGCACCAATGAGTGTCAGTGGGTGCCATTTTTTCTGCATGGAAGAATTCAGTGACACACCTTTGCTACATACACACTTTTGATACGTCATTTTGTCAGACTGTCCCTCAGCTGCCATCTGTTACACCGCAACAACACGGAATGGAATATTGGTGGAAGGTTGAACCTATACTTCCATCCAACCAACATCCACCTTTGACACTGTGGGCAGGAGGCATTACTTTTTGGAGTAGCCCTCGTAATTCCTTGCATGCCTACAGGAGCCATCCATCTTCTGAGGTAGCACAAGTCTTCTTTCCATCACTGTACCATCATCCACAAAGCTGCCATTGTGGAAAACACTCCAGGCTGTATTTAAATCTGCTCTGAGCTGGTTTTTAGATGGCAGAGCAGATTCTCATGAAGCAGCACACTGCCAGCTCCAGTGGATCTGGCCATGGATCATGGTACCTCAGTGGAAGGAGGAGTAATGCACAGGCACAACCCTACACCAAAAGGAAGCTTTAGATCTGCATGGGAACCAGCTAAAAAAGAATATGGAAAACAATAATCAAAAAACTGAAAAGATCACAGCTGGGCAAAATGAATAAAACAGATGAACGAATAAATTTCTGCTGCCACCTAAACAAAGTCATCAAAAGCTTTTCATTAAACCAATGGAACCCAGGCTTGCATAGAGAGATTTCAGTATGAATGACCACTGGGTTTGGTTGTGAAGTGCTGACTGAGATGACTGTTTATTAAAACAAGTGGCTTGAAAGACACACAGAATTATCCCCAGCTGTAAGTGAACAGCGCCTGCCGTGCTCCTCAATCCACAGGCCTGCTGCTTTATTGCTGTTTTGAGACTCGGCAACACGTGTCGCACAAAGAGGGCTGCCTGCGTTTCTTAGTGTAGAAGCTGACACACTGGAAACATTAAACGTCTCTGGAAGCATAACAACCACTCCAAACCCTCTGTTTGAAATGCAGGGAAGTTCAATAAGAACAATATGGAAAGATCGCTGTCTACCCTGCACAAATATAAAGCACAGATGAGAGTCGTGATCAAACTCTACAATGCGGAACAAGTTATGTTAAAAAAAATACAAGGCTTGCAAACAGATCTCTCTACCTTCAGATTTCTTCTCTGGGTAAGAAACTCAATGATCCCCACTGCACTAATGCAGGGCTTCATGTATCCGTTGGTCTTCGTGCAAGCACCTGCACGAGCCAGTCAGTGCAGTGGGGCACTGCAGAAGGGGCCATGCCAGTATCCATGTTGATGCAAGGACCTGATAGGATCACAGACATGTCTTGTGGGCTTGTGTGCCCCAACAGTGCTGCAGACAGGCCGAGGCACTGCCACAGGACTGCAAAGCTTGCTGTGATCAGGCTGTTCAAGGGATGTTTTCTTTATCGATGATGGAGATGTGCCAGGCTCTCTGGACAACCTGCTCCAGCGTTTGACCTCCCTCATTTTGAAAAACAAAAATCCCTGCTATCTAATCAGAACTTTTTTTTTTCCTGTGTTGCAATCATTGCCTGCTGCCTCTTGTCCTTTCACCGTACACCTCCAAGAGCAATGTGGCACTGCTTTACCACCCTCCCATTGTGTGGCTGTAGACCACTGTCAGACCCATCTCAGCCTTCTCTTAACACCAAGCAAAACCAACCCTTTTGGTCTCTCCTCACACACCACGTGTCCCACCTCCCTTGTCAACCTGGCAGTTCCCCACTGGCCCTGCTCTGGGACTTCCTCATCCCAAGAGCCCAAAACTAGACACAGAAACGTCATGAAGTTTAACAAGGTGTTCAAGAAAGTTGTGGGACCCACCACACTAGATACTTTACAAATATCTAGTGTCTGTTATGATCATTACTGACTCAGCACTGATGTTGGTAAATGTTTAGCTAGGCTGGCTTGCAACTGAACTCATGTTCAGATATCTGCTGCTAATGCTTCTTCTGCAAAGCAGCACCTTTTGCTAGAAGTACAGCCCGTGGATGGTGAGGCAATTCTTACTCTGCTTTTGTAGAAGATGTTAAAGAAATGCACACATCTTGTGGTGGAAGTAGAACATGAGATAACTTTGCTTATCCGCCTTCCCCCAAAAGAACTCCCAAATGCAGCACTGCTGCCCACAGATTAGCTGGTGCCACCACACACACTGTGTCAGAAATATCTGAACCAAGTGAAAGCCTGGCAGAGGTCACCTAAGCTGGGGAAGAAAGAGAGAACAAATGCAGGTAGGAAGTCATTTGGCATTTAGAGAGAATGTGATCCATGTGAGGTGTAAAGAAAAATTCCAGAAGTTGACAGTAGGGCAAGGCAGAATTCTTGGCCCCAGGATTAGTACAGGCTCAGAGACATGAAGTAGTAAAAATATGGTAGTCCTTTATTCACAGAAGGCTTGACCACTGTGTGCAGACAATGCAGACAAAGGTGGAGAAAACACTTCCAGCACTGCTCAGTGCAGCAACAGCACAAGGGAGAAGTGGAATGGAGGGCAGCTGTTGCCATGGTACGGGAAAAGTCACAGCAAGCAGCAGGCCAGCAGGAGAATGGAACCCACGTGTGGGGGAAGATTATGGGATAGGGAACACAGAGAAGCAGCAGAGAGGAGGAAGATGCAGGTCCATTTGCAGAGGGAAGGTCGGAGCAAACAGGACAACTACATTCCTAAGAGAAGGCAGCAGCAAGCATTGGGCAAAGAGCAGACTGGACAGATGGAGGGGCCATGCCTGAAAGGAGATAGGGGACACTCCTGAAATGGGAAGGTTGAAAATGGCAAGAGGCAGAAATAAGTCCAGAAATCCTACTGAGTGGAGTAATCTTGCAAATAATAAACAAAAATGAGTAGGAGGTAAACCAGGAGCTCTTTTTTTTTTCATGCAAAGAAAGAAGTTATTTCCTGTGAGAGGCCAAAGTTCCATAACTTGCCATGGAGTACTGAATTACAGTGCCACAAACTTAACCTCTTCGTTTCAATCCCTTTCAAGAAAGAGGTTTCACAACTCCAGGCACAGCCTTGCAACAAAACTTTCAAGGCGCCATGCCAGCCACGTCCTGGCTGCATGACACCAGGTCTGGCCACAGACTCCTGCCAAGAGTAAAGGACAGCCTATGCACATGCACCAACAGACTATTTGGCAGACATACAACTGGCTTTTTAAGACACAATTAGTGCTTTAGCCACTAGAGCAGCTTCAGCTACTTAGAACAATGCCTCATTGTTTCCTACCCATTCCCATCCCCTGTACTTTTACATGGCCATATTAGGAAGGTGTACTTCATGGAGAGGTTTGTGGAGGGGAGTCACCACAGACAGGTGAGGAAAGCTCATCTCTGCTGGATCACGGCATGCCTACCAGAAAGACTACATGTCCCTTCCCTGAACACTCTCCCAGACAGTACGGTGCAAGTAGGCACCCTCTCTTTGCAGCAGTGTCTCAGCAGCACTGCTGCACTCCATCCCCAGTGATATCCCCCATAAGCAAAGATGCAGTGTCAGGATGGAGGCAGCTGTGCCTATCAAAGTGTCTCCTGGTGCATGTATGATAAAACTGTAGCAGGCTGTGAGCAGCCCTTCACTGAGTCTTATTTTTATCCCAAACACCTTTCCTGTAGCAAAGAACTAAGATCTGCCTTCCCCCTTTCTGGCCACCATTCCCATCTGCAGTGCTTGCAACAGCCTGCCTTTCTTAAGTGGGGATAGGAGAGAAGAAAAATGCATCTCCAACAGTACCTGGGGGCACTTTTTTCCAAAACAACCATTTGCTGACAGGGTTGGCAATGCGCAGAACACAGAACATTAGACCTACTGCTTCTTTAACCCCTGTATAGCAGGGATTACTATCCAGATACCCCTCCCACATACAAATTTAGGAGATGCCAGCAGCCTGGCTCACCACACTCTGTTCTCCCCACCCAAAAAGAAGCACAAGAAGGATGTGGAGCAGGTCCAGAGGAGGGTCACTAAGATGATCAGAGGGCTGGAGCATCTCTCCTATGAAGAAAGCAGGCACTGTCTGTGGCCTCTGACCACAGCCAGAAGCCAGAAGCCATAAGAAAAATGGCTTCTGCAGGTTATGGTTTGCCCTAGACCTGAAATGATACCTATTCTGGGCACAGGTGTCACTTATCTTGCCCTAAAATAAGTACATAGCTTTCAAATAAAATCTTCTAACACATTGTCTGAGAGTTCTGCACCTGGCACGACAGTCTTCCACAGTGGCAACCCCTGCCTCCAGGTCGGTCTCACCAGGAGAATGCCCATCTGTACATGCCCCGTCCCTGGAGGTGTCTAAGGCCAGGCTGGATGGGGCCTTGGGCAATCTGATCTAGTTCTTATCTAGTGGCTGGTAGCCCTGCGTGTGACAGGGGATTGGAGTTCGATGATCCTTGTGGTCCCTTCTAACCCAAGCCATTCTATGATTCTGTGATTCTCTTCATACCTTTAAATCTAAAGGTTACAAAGTGATCCCCAAAGCCTCCATTTAGAAATTTAAATGACTATCTCCACTTTTCAAGATACAGAAACTCAAATACATGAGTAAATATATACGAGAAAGGTATGAGAGAGATCTTAAGCCAACGGGTCAGAGACTTTTCTACAGAAACAATTCTTAGCATATAATACATCACCTCTCAGTCAAACAGCAGAAGAGGTGTAGAAATAAGTTGTAGCTATTATGTTACTTTTATAGGGATACCTGACCTAAGTGTGGTATCTTCTAGAAGTTTAGTAAGGATAAATACCTATGTTTCTTACAACATCCCATTAAGAAATGGCCAAGTGGAATTAGAAAAGATATGGACCTTTTAGTATGGCAGGTATCCACTGATAATATTGAGATTACTAAAACATTTACTGAAATACAACTGTACTCACCCCAAAAGCTACAACCCTATAAAACAGTCAGCTTTAGATTCATTAAATGCATGACACTATTAAATATTAAAAATTGATGTTCCTCCTCCCTCCACACATTTGGATTTTTGATGGCTTGCTGTCTACAATGACATTCCTAAGGTACACTTCAAATGAAAAATAGAGCATGAAATAGCTCAGTAACAACCTTGCAATCTCAAAGCACAGTATTGATCTATCGATAAAAGCAGCATTTATATTAGCTTAAAAAATTACAGTAAAGAAGAATATTTCGATTCACGCTCCTTAAGAGCACATAAATAAAAATTAATGACAGTACAGACCAATTAGCACAGATCATGGTTCTTACCCTGGTAACTCTTCACTAGTGTCATCTTGTTATAATCTTCTGACAAAATGAATTCCTGGGGGAAGGGAAAGAAGAAGAGCAACACAGAAACAGGGTTTAGAGAAGTGTCCAAGACTACTGTCATTTGAATCTATGTTTTTGCTAATTTTGAGTACCTCTTTCTAGAAGCCCACAAATCATTTCATTTTTTAAAAAGGCCTAACAAAGCCTCATGAGTGCTTCTGAGCAGAAAAGTGGAGATAAAAGAGGAACCATTAAAAAGAGCTTAAGAAACTGGCAGGATGGCTGGCTACAAATGAGCCGGTGTACCACAAAGCAGGAGACCTGAGTGCCAGCACACAGCTCAGGATTGCAGGGGCAGATATCTGTGCATGCACCCAGCTGTGTGCACATCTGCATGCACACCCCAACCTGAACCTCGGGAAGCTCCAATTACATTTGTGAGAGCCCCCTGGAGATGCTCTCTCCAAACTATGTACTAATAATCCACAATGGGGAAAAGCTCAGATTTCTGTTCAGAAGTCTCTCAATACTTCAGGCAAACAAACACAGACGTTCCCCTCCGCCTTGATTTTATCTCACTATTAATTATTATTTATTCTGGTGTCTTAGAAGCAGACTTTCTTGCTTTGCTGCTGCTCTGCTGTGGCTACCAAGCAGTTGTGCATGAGCACAGAGGGTGCCTGTCCAGGGACAGGCACAGGGAGTGATCCAGCTTGGCTCTCTCTGTAGCCAGGGAAGAACACCCCTATGGGAAGATGTTCTGCAGTCCTGCTACCCTGGTGCTGCTGTTTAACCATCTTTAAATTGGCTTTTAGAAGATGTGAATGATGAAAATCAGCAATAAAGTCTCTGCGTGGAGGTCTCAGCTCCCGGAACAGTCCCATGTGGTTAAACAGAATGAGCACCTGGGTGTTCCTGCTGCTTATTTTGAAGGGGAGAGCTGCTCAGAGCAGGGGAAACAGTGGTCACAACACAGCTCCTGCAGCTTCACTTGGGAGGAAACACCTGGCAAAGGGTGGGCCCTGCAGCACCACTACATGAACTGGCTTTCAAATTGCCCTCAGGTCATTGTGTGCACACGTCCTACTGAGAGAAATGTGAGAAAGAACAAGGAGCTCGAAAACACATCGTATTAAATTATTTAAAACAAACTATACAGAAGCTCCCTGAGCTAATCTAGCTTGGGGCCAGCAGTAAAACCTAATTTATTTAATCTGGAAATAGTGTGAAAATAAAAGGAACACTGTAAAACACAAGATGAGCTACGTTTTAAAGTTGTGCAATATTCATGCATAAGCACTGCCAAAAGCAGTGACAGAAAGGACTGGGCTTCATGAGCCCATGGACTATTTTTAAGGCAAATCAAATGTTTAGTGCTGAACAGTATAAGGAAATATTCTAACCACTGAAACACTGATATTTACCCAACTTTTCTGAGCTGGAACAAAGAGAATCATTCTGCATATCCTGTGGGGTCTCCAGGTAATCAGCATGGCTCTCCAGCACCTGGATTGTCCCTAATACACCATAATTCCTGCTTGGCACCAAGGTGGAGAGGCTGCCACACACATCTGTTGGAAACCTACATGTCCCAGCTTCCAGGAAACAACAGTGAGTGGGTTGTGGCAGCTGTGTATTGTGCCATTTCTAGTTTTCTGCTTGTAAATCAGTAATAAATATGTTCTCTTGAATTGTACTACTTCACTTTCCACTCCTTTATTCTTATCCACCTCCTCATAGCTTTCCTCTGGCAGCTGAGGATTACAATGAGGGGTGTTATTTAAACAGCGGTGACAAATCAATTAAGTCAGCTGGATTTCTACACCGGGGTCACCTTAACTCTACAAACCACAGAGCATTAAAAATCTGCTATACCTCCCTACCTACTTACAGGGGAAGTGGTTTTAATTAACCATGGCCTGAACCACCACACAGAATGCTTCTCTGCAAAGCCCATTTGAATTAAAGACCCTTTTCTACGAACATTAACTGTCTGCTGATGTTGCCTGAAAAGAAACAGCTTTAATTGCTGGAACACGTGGTGGGAGAATATGTTTGTCTTTCCCATCCTGGTGCTGAACCCAGATTGCACCGGGGTGACGCGCAGATGCGGGTGATCAGAAGTGCAGAGATGAGGAATGATGTGCATTCAAATTCCGCTTTGGCTTTTTGCCTTTGACAAACTTGACATGGCCGTTCTGCTCAGTTATCTGTGGACAACTTAATGGAAGACTGAAAAAGTCTCCTGAATCTCCCCATTACAATGCAGTGAATCAAAACACAACGGCAATTAGTAAGGTTAAGCCAAGTATTGATTAGGTGTGCTTTAATACAAGCCACGGCTACATGTTATCGATAGAGCACTCTATCTAAAGAGATGAACACACAGTACAATATGAACACAGTTCCATTAACCTGAATATTGGATGTCATGATATTACATGCTCTTCTCTGCACCCCCCCTACGACTTCTTGCATCTTATTTTCTCCCCTGAAAGCATTTGTTACTTTGAGAGTCATCAGTCATCTCCTTTTCACATTTCCTAATTTTTAAGTTCTTTTATTTCTTGCTCCCCTGTACACAGTCACATGTTTTTCCACTGCCCACATTCCCCTATCCCTCTCAAGGCCAAATGTTTTAATTACATCAATAGACAGGTAATTTAACACAGGGCACCCTGCTCCATGAATTCATGCCCTACTGCACATACACTGTGGCTGCTGCCCTACAAAAACATTGATTACATCTTTTTAAACATTGTACCAACAGAAACTGGTTCTTATCCTTCCGTATATCAACGTTTCACTCTTCTCAGAGCTGCTGATGCTTCAGTTCTCATTAGGCAGTTTTTGGGCAATTCTTAATGAGCTAGAAAGGCTGAGGTCAGCCACACAGCTCACACACAGCTTGTTAAGAGAACATGGAAAGATTTGAGTCTTGTGACAGTGCTTTTGCACAGGAGGGCCTGTGACACATCACAGCACTTGGAATGGAAAAAACAAAAATCTTCCTCATAGGGATTAAACATTTTTTTGGCAAGATCATCCTTTGCTCTTCAGAGGGTTTTCTTGTGTGTGGGTTTCGTGTTTTTTTTTTAATTTTCGTTTTTCTCCTTTGAGTTTCTTTATATGTTTTCTGCCACACTGAAACGTTACTGATCAATCTTGCCTGTTTAAGGAAAGCTTATTACTATTATATCAGTGGAATAATCAGTGCTATGAAAGCCTTCAAGGTGAAGTCCTGAACATTTGAAAAGGCAAACCTAATGCCCATGACACTGCTGTACAAAGGCTCTCAGTTGCACCTTCGTAGAGCACATCCCTCACATTGTAACATATACACACCACAGAATTCCCCTCTTGATTTTAAGACTTCTATAAGTTTTCAATAAGACTGCAAATGTCAGTGGTGTTCTGTTTCTAATTATTTGTGTTAAGGTAAACAAAACCCATACCCTAGAGCAGGTTATTTCAGAATCCTTGGCCGTGCATGCTGGCTGATATGACACAGAGTCTAAAGAAGAGCCATACCCTTCCAGAGATGCAGGTGGACATCAAGTGATGGATGACAAAACAGAACTAGAGACCTATACATAGGCAACTGAATCCCATCTCAGAGTGAATATTCTTTATTTGTTACCCATTGACAGCCTATCTCCCACCCCAAGGAATTTACAGTCAATACTCCATTAGATTATGCCATTTTGACAGCACAGTGTGGATCTTAAAGGCTTGACTTGATTCTATTAATACAAGTTACTGACAGTGCTCTCACTGTATCTTCCAGAGAACAGCAAACTAGCTTCAGAAATTGAGAGGAATGAATACTCTTAAATCTAATGTCAGTGACTATGTCTACATCTGCTGCAAAGAAAGGTCTTTAAAATGATTACAGCATTCTCACTTCAGTAAGTGCAAAAATCAGAATAGGATAGAAACTATTACACTAGTTCTTGGAGAAAAAAAACATTAAACTTCCCACTGTGGCAGAGCTGTACACCAGCAGGTAGAGCCTAGGTGTTCCAAGTACTGTTTACAGCCAAGCTTGTGGGCATCTGCAAGATCAGATGATGTGGATGATGAATCTATATTAAGTGCCATCCCCAAGAAAGAATTCAGAGAGGGCTGTTCCTGTGACTTGTTTTCCTTGCGGGCCTCCTCCAAGTATGTAACAACTTCATCTGAACACAAGCAAGGTCAGATAAAAAGTTCAATTTCATTCAGTTTCAGCTACCTAAAAACTAAATGCTTCAGTAATATCTTCAGAAATAGCGTAAGCAACATGGGTATTCCCAATGGCAATTCACTTCTCTACTGGCAGCAGAGCTTCATGATTAACTTTGTCTAGGAAGCTAACTTTTAGATGAAATTAAGTGGGGAGTTGCATCCTGCCAGTCAACTCTCCTATTTATTTCAAGTGATAGACCTTTGCTCTGTTGCTTGCTATAGTGGTATCAAGAAACTTGCACCCATTAAAACAATATTTCCTTCACTTCAGAGGAAGGAATTTATGACTGCAATAGTGTCTTCTGGCTTCCAAAACCAACCTGAAGCAGCCCCTAAGACAAAAAGAAATACAAGTGCCATTTATCCTGAAAAAGGGATTGCAAGGCATAAAAATGATCATAAGAAACTTTTTTTTGTGCTTCAGGTACTCTTGCTTTGCAAGCAAGATGCTTGACGAACTTTCTCTCAAGAGAAAAGTGTATTGTGCTGCACAAACGTTGATGCAGTCCTCCATGCTGAGAAGTTACAAAAGGTTGAAAACAATCTCTTCATCTTTGTAGAAGTAAAAACTGTCACTCTGTTTCCTAAGGAGAAACGGGGCCTAAAACGTCACTTCACTGTGGCTTTGGTGGAACATCTTTATCTAACAATAGCATTGCTGCCCATCCTTCTCAAAAGGCACCAGAGGCATTTCTGGGATGTCAGACTTAACCAAAAGCCACATAACTTTCCAAAGTTTCATGTAAAAGGCAGTTTCACTTTCTTATTTATATTTATGTGTGAAAGTAAAAGCAGTAGCACAAAAAGATTACTTTGACATCATGGGAGCTATATTAGCTTCGCAGCCCTTGCCATGAGTTCTTCCCTTCCATACAAAGTGGAGATGCACAAAGCCTTTCAGACCTTTTCTGTCCTGCACACAAGGTGCTGGAACAGCTGACCAATTGCAAGTATTTCATGCTATTGAAGTGAATTGTCTGTACATTTCTTCTGAGGGTTACACAGTAAAAGTGCACTAAGACCACCTTGTTGCAGGAAGGTCTCTTACTCTGTGGACAGCATGCCCTCCTTGTACACTTTTGTGCTAGACTAATTCTGTGTGTATACTCCTGTATGTGTGCTTAGAATGTCCCTCCAAAAGGTGCTTGTAACCAGCCCTTGAGTACCTGGTGTTAGATTTTCCCTAACACCTACATGTATAGCAAGGACTTGAATGTGGGGCTACCCTTCCTCTTCCTCCATCTCCACCTTCAACACATCTTGCAACATAAATTGTGGCTTTTCTTGCAAGCCCTGGGTTTGCTGCAGAGGGAAACTTTCCATCACTTATGAAAGTTTGTGGAGCATATTTTCTGCAAAATCCTCTACTACACAGTTGCTTAAAGCTAGTAGGGATAAAATGAAGCAATGCAGACTAGCCCTTGCCTCTCCTATTTACTTGCATTCAAAAGAAGGGAAAAGGAAAGCAAAGCGTGGCAACAAATACAATCTGCCTTAGAGGTGGCAATGCATACTAAGAAGTACCCAAAGTAACATGTTGGTTTACCACCTGCATACCTCATTAACCTTCCTTAGTTCTAGAATGGAAAATATTTGACCCTGCTCAGACTCTCTGACTCTTCAAGGCAAAATGCCATGAAGATAAAGGACATCTCTTTCATCAAGCTAGAATACTTGAATGCCTTATTTACAGATGCCTTCACATTCCTCAAAGGCCTGTTGAAAACAAATGCGTTCAGTAGGATTGGAAAATTAAAGCTATTTTGGAGAGTGGGAAGGAGGGAATTTCAGAGGTGCAGGGAATTCTCTGGCAGCTGTCCCTTCTCCTAGATACAAAAGGAGAAATCTCCTACGAGCACTGAAAATCTGGTGCTGAGCCATTAATAGCTTTATGGGTCAGAACCTTCACATCTTTGAAACAGCTCATGGGCAATAGCTAAAAGGGTTACACGTCCCATCCCAAATACCATCTTGGTTTAGTGCAGACAGCTGCCTTTCTGTCAACCTATAGACATACATTCAGTTATAAAGTCCATAAAGCAGAGACAACAGCAGTAAAATTGGAAATGATGATAAAAATGATATTAAGCTGTAGAAGTCTACTGATGGGGCATAGGTGAGAAGTCCCTCCCTGACCCTTTCTGTATGGCAACAGAGCATTTCATCAACTATCCCACAAGAAAAATCCAACTTTTAGAGAGTCAATTGCTACTCTCTATTTCAAATTTAAAAGACAGGCTCTTGTTTTAATATCCTGCTTCCTTTCCACATACACGGAGATCTCTGAGATGTTAATAAACCAAATCTTTCAGCAAGAGCATTGCCTGTATAAGCAACTCCTATGGAGGAACTGAGATGAAAACAAAATCTGAACTCTGAAACTTGGAAAAGCAGCTAAATATAGAACATAAATTCATTTTCTGCCTCTCAAACATTATTTTTTCCCTCTCAACTGCTGCTTTCAGAAAACTTTGGTATGGCATGATTAACAAGACACTCATTTAATAAAACCACAGCTGTTCAGCTGTTCTTTCTTTATTTCTTTTTACTATTTTTTAAAGATAGATGCAAATTAGGACTGTTTGTTTAGTTGCCTAATAAATATTGCAAACTCCACAGGCTGGAGAAAAATTTGGAGTAATCGACCACTTTCCACACTACAGCTTTAGATCCACTGCAGTAAAAATTCTCTCTCCCAAACACTAACAAAAATATCCTCACCCCATCACACATATACTTCTCAAAAGGGAAGCGTTTCAACTAGAAATCTTTGTATGTACTTACTGAGATTGTACCATTGTCTAGACCTATGGACAGCCTTCTGGTTTCCGGGTTAAAAGACATGCATGAACATGGAGCTGAAAAAAATGAACATGATGATGAAGTTAACAAAACTGATATTTTCTTGAAGTTCTGGAAAGCCTAAAACTGGCTAGTATGCTTCACGGTGCTTCATCATTTTGCCCCCTTCCAATAGACAAACATTTAAAAAAAAAAACCAAAACAACAGTGCTTGTGCAATTCATTCTATCCTATCCTATTAGGACATGGATTAACAGTTATTTATTGCTTCAGTTTCTTCATTTTTCCTTACTAATGCCTTCTGAAAGTGGGTATGAGGCATGTTATACAAGAACCGTGCTGGTGTATCCATATGAGCAGTACACATTTTATATTTATTTAGCTGAATAATTTGGGCAGTTTTTAAAAAACAAAACAAAACAAAGCCATTTGCCTGCCCTTTATCAGCAATAAAAGAAAATGCTGTCAAAGACTCACATCCTACACCTGCAGTACGAAAGTGAGCTTGAATCATTGTTAACAGGAGCTGACCTATCAGCCAGTATGAAGAGCAGTCAGTCCAACTGCTCTATCTGGTCTGGTCATTTCCCCAGACAACATTATTACAGTATCACATGCTATGGCCAAAATACAAGACTCTATGGAAAACTAGCCATCGATTCTTACATCAACACTAATAAATATCAGGATATACTCTTAAATGGCTCATAAATCAGTCCTTCTAGGATATGGAGAGGTCCACATACAGGGTAAAATCAGACTTTTCTTGTAATAACTCAAGTGGTATGCTTGGTTTCATCAAGATACCGTGAGGCTGCATTCAGAAGGCAAGGATTGCTTTTATCACCCAGCACAGCAGCATGCTGTCCCCACAGAACCCATCCGTGATCACTTCTCAGCACTGTGACTAGGGACAGGCATCCATCCCCTTTCTGTAGTGGTAAGAGCATTGATTAAACCATATTTGCGTAATAGATGTTGAGCGCAGTCAGACATGCTTTTAATTCTTTTCTCCTCCTTCTTAGTTTCTTCTCTGCACTGCGATTACATGGAGTGGTTTTGTTAGTAACAGACTCAGAGTTCTTTCTTTTACAGTGCCATGTACTTGCTATATTTCCCATTTGAACAATGTCTTACCTACAGTCGTACAGTTCATAGCTCAGCAGATCTTTGTTAGTTAGCAGCTGAGCTATATCACAGCCTGTTTAACAAAACTATTCTACCTTTAGTACTGCACACCCCCAGTACATTTCCTAAGGGACAACTAATTGCAAGCAGGAAGCCAATCACATTCACATCCAAGAATTAAATCAAAGAAAAGGCTTCAGTTCAAGGGAACTGCCAGAATAGAAATGCTGCATTATGGCTACTATCAGTAACAAAATCATTCCTTTCTGTACCTCTTCTTCAGGAAAGGCAAACTCAAAGCTTCCTTTCATATGGTGGGACACTGTATGATATTGAGACTTCCAGGTCATAGTGGAATTAGGATGCTGTAGGAAAAGCTGGCAGAGACAAAGCAACTCTAAACATCATACCTTTTTAAAAGGCACTTAACACCACACCAGGCATTTCAACATTCCAGCTTTAAAATGTCAGACGGTGTGCATACATTGAAAAAACTATCAGTAACTCTGAAGATGACAAACAGTTTACAGAGAAAAACTCAGTTAAATTAGCTGTTTATCTGGTTTCTTCCAGAAAGCTCAAAGCACTTCAGATACAAAAGGTACAAGCAAATATGAGACACGCTGCTAAATAAAGGTCACATTTGAGTTCCAAACCCACATGTACTTTATCACAGCGGTGTAAAGATACTTTGCTATAATCATTTTCCTAAAGGAATTCTTAAATAACATGTACTCTTGGAAAAATGAACGTCAGCCCTAGCTACACTAATGTAATTGAAATGGTACCAGTTTCAACCAGACAGCAGCAGCTTATACTTTACACGAAAGTTAGACAGTGACATTCAGATACTTAAGCACTTGGGCTCATTATAAGGAGGGGAACAAAAAAGAAAAAAAGAAGAAAAAAAAAAGGCCTAATTTTCTGAGATGATAAAGAGCCTTTTAAAATAATACTGAGGAAAAATAACGGCACTGTGAAGCCTCTCTACTTTAACATCTAGCTATGATTTGGATTTCACACTACAAGAGGCTTGATCTGATCTGATGGGCTGGATATTCCTGACATGTAAGTCTGGCTGTATTCTTCAATATAGGGCAAATACACACTGATGCGATGATTTTTTGCCTTTGAAAACAGAAATCCTGAATTACTTCATGCTCTCAACAATGAGTCTCCTCAATTAGGAGCTGACAGAAGAGAAATACTAACTTTATATCTGCATTTTCAGAGGGCCAGAAGTGGCACAGTGGAAGACCTAAGGGTTATGTTTTGCTTTGCACAGTCTTGACCATCTGCTTCAATGCAAAGTGTTAGCTAAAAAAAAAAACCATCATAAGGCCATGTACTATCTGCCTCAAACCCTGGGTATTCCACTACAATAAAACTTTTCTCCATCTGAGAGAGGTTTTTTCTGGTTGGGTTTGGATCTACTGTGGTCTTTCATTTGAATGCAAAGCTTTCTTGTATTGACTACGATACCTTCTCATAATTTTGTAAAAAGGTGGGTTTTTTTCCTCCTGTGCAGATACTAACAAAAAATTTTAAAGATCACACACCTAACCATGAGGATTAACCTGCTCAGAGGTCCCTTGTTAACACAAGTTGTTCAGACAACTCTGACATGAAGCAGTCAGATATTCAGCTTACCTAGTTTGCCTTACTGACAACATAGCAGTGTGTGTTTTTGATATTGGCTCTGTCTGTGGTGGTTCTTGAAAGCAGACTGAGTTCTACCAGTGGTTGAACACAACCCACCCCAGCCACCAGCATCCATGACCATGCTCTGTCAAATGTTTCTCAAAGGCCTTTTGGTGCTTAATGCTGCTGTGACACTGGCTGAGAAAGCCAGCAAAAGACCACAGAAATCACATCTGCCACAGGGTGTTTCCATTACCCTTCTCTTTGCAAAGGCTTGGCTGTGCAGCGACCTGGTTTGAATACTCACAGCTCACTCTTTCTCAAAAATGGGGCCACTGTGCTGTCCACTATTTCTGAAACATCCACAGGTTGGGCAGAAAACTCTGTAACTGAGGAAAGCCCACTCCTAAACAGCAAAAATGTCCCTAGTCTGAAGAATCTACAATCCTGAGCAGCTATTTAATGGCCTTCACATTCAGAACACTGATGGCTCCATTGGTTGGCAGAGCCTGACCAAAGCACATGGCTGGCTCAGCCTCAATGCCTCATCCTCCTCACCTCCCAGAGTGCCCAGGCTGCAATCTCAGTTATTAAGGCTACCTGACAACAAGTTATGAAAGGGTGTGGGTCACGCAGCACTGTAACCAGCCATGAGTCATGCTAATGGGTTATCTGTAGGTGGGACTGCCATTCTCACAGCTTGCTAAACAGCACAAAAGCATCATCATGCCTACTACTTTTCTTCTGCAAAGAACCTCTGTTGTTCTCTAGACAACAAAAAACAATGTGAACCTAAAGCAGAGGACAATGAAAAAAGGGGATCCATGCAGAAACAGACAAAACACAAATGCATGCCTGTGCAGAGGCTGACTCAGAGTTCTCCCTATGATTTTAAAGCTTAAAGCCATGGCTGATAATTTAATTGGCACTGCTCCAGTGTTTAATTATACTTGATCACTCTTGAAACTGGTGAATAACTCAGTACAATGTAAATGTCTCATGACTCAAAAATTTGCCAGCCTTAAGTGAAAGAACAGCATCAGGTGCTCAGATTCATGAAGGAACTTTAAAATAGCCCCCTCTGAGTGGGTCTGGATCTACTCAGTCTTTTCTAGTGTAGCTATTATTACTGGCAATAATGCAGCCTTTCTACGACCTAAGATGATTTTAAAGTGAGAAGTGCCACTTCATAACAGTTTGTCTAAGGGAAGCAAACCTCTTTGGACAGGTCAGGGGAACCAAAGCCACAAAGCCACGGCTGCTTATTGTTACAGAGGTTCACAGACTGCCACATCATTAGCTGCTTTCCAATACCTTTTTGAGCAAAATTTTGAACAGAAAATACCTTTGACGCTTGACATATTCTTATGAGTCCATCCATCAGCAAAGGAAAAAAAAAATCTTCCTCTCTATTTAGCAAATGAATGCTTTCCTGGAGCAGGCAAGCAAACATTGAGGCCGCACTATGCCCCCAAACTGATGAGGTCATGGCACTAGAACTGTTTAACATTTATACCTACTAAACATTTTATGCATCATGGAGATAGAAATCCTCTTGCAAATCTAACGATGTTAGCTTAAAATACTTCTTTCTCCAGACAGTAAGAATGCCTCAATGGGACTTGATAAATGCTCCCTGATCTGCTTTCCAGAGACAGGCTAGCCCAGCACATATGAGTTAACTGAGGAGCATCAGTATATTTCTGCTGCTGATTGCCTGTAAAGTTTTCTCCTGCACTCAACACAGGGCCTCTTCAACCACCTGGACATTAATCTGCAGTTTCTTTTAAAGCATGAACACTTTCCTTGGGATAGAAGACCTACAGTAGATCATACTGGAGAAATTCATGATGAAGGCTTGGTTTTCTGCATCTAATTGTGGGGTAATATGATTCTGCTCCTCCACTGGAAAACCAGCCCTCTCTGTTTAGTATGCCCTCTATTGTATTAGCTACTGCAGGATATTAAGTTATTATCAAATAAAACCATTTACCATTGTACTCTAATGGACTAAGCACATGCAGTAGGAAGGGCAGACTGATTTATCCTGGAGACGTTCAAAGCTTTATGGACTCCATTAGTGGTGGAACACAGGACTACATTTCAAGCTTCCACATTTGTTGATCCATATTCACATAAATGCTCGTCCCTTCCTAGCATGCTTGTATGCTTTTGCTGCTGTAATCCCTGATGCCTCTAGGGAACATTAGCATGCAACTTGGTAAAGCTTGAAACCATGAGAACTACTCAAGCACTGAATTTAATACGGAGTGGTAAGCCCACAAATGGTCATAAACATTGTTTCATCAAATAAAACAAGACATTGTGCAAATACACAGTAGATAATGAACATTTCCTTATACTTACATGGCATTGCATGGTATATGCTGGGCCAGTACTGTCCACTGTCTCTCTTCAGCCAGACACGAACTGTTCTATAAAAGAAAAAACAAACCACGTGTGAGGAAGGATGAAAAAGGAGCTATGAATGAAAACAAACCAGCGATGCTGAATGCACAAGACTATGTTCAAAATGAAGTTATTTCACAGAGAAGTAAACACACAAACTCCTACAGCAGGCCTACACATCAAGCACAGATGATGATGATGAGGGTAACTCATTCCTTGGTACCACACAGTACCAAGCTGAACACATCATACAAGGCAGGCTGGCAGTCTTCCTCTGCTCTGACAGTTCAGAGCTGCTGTCTTCAAACAGAAGCAACTAGACCTTTTGCAGTGCTCCAGCACTTCCACAAACACATCAGTGGTTTCCCTCTGCTGGAAAACCTTCCTAGTCTTTTGCTTGCTCATATTGGTATCACATTTGCAGACCCTGTCACTCAATTAGCATGCAGCTCATCCATGCCCATCGCACACGAGATGTTTTTCACCTGTTTCCTGAGCAAATGATGTGAAACTAATGTAGAATCTGGATTATTAAATATTTATTATTTCAGCTTTTGATATCATTTTCTTCTTCTGGTCCAATCTCTAAAACTCCTTACTGGGACTCTTTCCAAGGGGACTTTGATTCATCAGCTAATTGCATCAAAAAATGCATAGTAATACTGCCACTAGCTAAAGCAGCTGGCAGCCAGTCCTCTGTTAATCTCAGCAGTCAGCTCCTGATTGTTCCTGCACATCTCACTGTCATCCAAATTTCAGCCAACTCTTACCTGCCTCACTGTTCTTTGAGTCCTTATCTTCAGTTTTAATTAGTGAAATTTCCATATAATTCTGTATTCCATCCTTTACTGATTTACACTAAATGTATTAACCTTATCCAAAATACTTAGTTATCCAGGACAGCATCTTGTTAATGCAGCACAGTACATTTTCATCCATGCCAACATGTCTATTTTTCTCCACCAAAGATAGCACGTGGCAGTAGATACAAGAGAGATCTAAAAAAAAACATTGTTGAATATTCTCTAGCAGCAAACCTAAAATTTGCATGTGATAGCATTGAGAAAATGCACGCCAAATGAACCACAACAGCTCTGTCCAATTAATGAAACACGGAAATGAGGCTTAAGGAGAGGAGTACATGGTAATAATTCATGTTACATCTTTACCACAGAGCAAGTAGATTTCAGTCCTTTTTAGTCAGTAAAAGTTTACAGCAATACTTTAATACAATTTAATACAAGTTGATCTAAAACACTACACATGCAAAATATAAGAACAAAGATGTCACATGATCTAATAAAGCAGCTCAAACTACTTATTTGCCCTGTCAATAAATTAGTGTGCAAACTTCAGATTAAGAGCTGCACTATTCTATGTTCCTGGATTACAGATACTCCAAATCAGTTTTCTGCTCATCCTGCTCTGAATCCAAACTGATTTTTCAGCACATATTTCAGAGGCCTGAATATATGGCCACTGCACAAGCTGCATCATGTTACACATTTCTCATATTTACACTTCAACATTGTATACAGCTCAAAAAAAACCCCCAGTATCTCACTGGATCTCCAATTCCCATTGTCATAAATCTCTCACAAATCACTTAAAAATTCAGTATAATTGCTTCCTAACTGTAGTGGCTTTTTTGATATGAACACACCAGCAGCTCTTCAGCAGACGTGAAGTAAAAGCACCAATACCTGTGCAGTGAGAGTGCCAAACCTTCTGTCCCTTCTTGCTTTAGAAGGCTGTGGCTGTTGTCAGAGCAGACTCTGCATCCTGACCCCAGCACAAAGTGCTGGGAACTCCCCATCCTTCCGTGGCTGTGCCCTGAGTTTGGGACACATCCAGCACTGCCTGCTCATCAGAAAATCAAAGAATGGCTTGAAGTGGAAATGACCTTAAAGACTATCTAGTCCCAATATCAAAGAGGTGTTAAGAAGGTCACTGCAATCCTGGAAGTGGATCAAACACTGTTTCCTGATCAGATGAGCTCATGTCAATGTGTTTTCAACAACTGAAGGAGGAGTGAACACTGCATGAACAAGAAAATACTGGGATGCATCATAGGGAATTGAAATTAATCAGTTTGAAACTGCTTTGAGCATGCCTCAGTGAGAGATCTGTCTTTTTTGGCCATTCCAATCCATATATTCATTGCTTCTAGTTTCCAAACTCCTGAGCTGAGATAAGGTTGCTTCTCCTTCCCACTTCAAGGTTCTGGCAAATAATAAATTCAGCCTGGAGAAGAGAAGGTTACAGGGGAAACTCATAGCAGCCTTCCTGTACCTGAAGGAGGCCTGCAGGAAAGCTGGGGAAGGACCTTTTTTAAGGACATGTAGTGAGAAAATGAGGAGAAATGACTTTAAACTGGAAGAGGGTAAATTTAAACTAGGTATTAGGAAGAAGTTCTTTACTGTGAGGGTGATGAGACACTGGAAGAGGTTGCTCAGAGAGGCTGTGGATGCCCCCTCCCTGGAAGCACTCAAGGCCAGGCTGGATGGGGCTGTGAGCAACCTGGTCTAGAGGAGGTGTCCCTGCCTATAGCAGGGGGCTGGAACTAGATGATCTTAAAGGTCCCTGCCTTTAAAATAACCAAACCACTCTATGATTCTAATTCTAGAGAGGTGCCATGTGTTACAGATTATTCAACTTGTTAAAACAAAACAAAACCAAACAACATCAAAGACTATGTGTAAGAAAAGATTTTCTAAAAGCTAGGAGAAGCAAAAATAAATGTTGTTTGCAAAAATGACAATACTTTGGATGCTTTGTTTGTGTTTTTGTTGTTTGTTTTGAAACTACTCACTGCAGACCTCCTACTTAATTTGACAACTGTCTCAGCTAAGACTGCTCACCAAGTTCTGCTGGAAAAAAAAAAAAAAAAAAGCTGTTTTATGCTTACTTTAAAAAAAATAAAAGTGAAATAACTGGCGGAGTTTCCTTGCAAAGAGTGGAACTACTTCTACCAGTGCATGTTTCTTCTGGAGGTACATAGTAAGTTCATTTCATTACATAGTCAAATATACTTCTATTCCATTACTGCTCATACAAAATGAGAAAAAAATGTCATAAGAACAAACAGTATGAAAAGATGTTATCTGAAGCATCTGAAAGTGAACATAATCAGCAAGTCCATTCATGTAACTCATTACAGAAATTCATTTTACTCTCCCCAGTAATTCATTTTAAATAAAGGAAAAAAAAAGTCTTGTTAACTATTTATTTTTACATTAAGGATGATTATTATCCATATCTTTAAAACAACCATCTAAAAGCTATGTTAAGCTTTAAAAGACTTCCAAAATCTATGTATAAGCAGACACAAAAGTACAAAAATCCTTATGGCTTCTAACTTTCTTCTCTTAGATCACTGGACTGCTGAAAGAAAAAAAGCAGATGTAGTTCATTAACTTCTGGGTAATCAGCATTTTTCTCCAAGTGGGCTCAGGCTGAAGAACCAACAGCTGAGCATGAGAGAAGCCCTCAGAAGAGAGCATCTTTTTTCAGCTGCAGTTCCGCACATCTTTGTGTACTTGAAACAGTATTATCCACCAGATGTGAAACCCTGAACTTCTGAAGCTTCTAAAGAATGCAGAGAAAAAAACAAGTGTGAATGAAAACTTCTAGTTTTATAGTTATGTAGCACAAAGAGCTCTTGTTGGCTGCACGGTAACTGGATGGCAACCAACACCCACCCAGGTAAGGATCCATTCTTCAGCTGCTCTGGAGCGATTCAGTTGGCATTGCCATGGAAATGAACTGCCCCTTCATTCTGTGGCCAGTGAATTGGCTTGGAAAGATTTTTAGAACCTATCAAAACAATAAATACTCTTCTAGTGCTTTCAAAACAGAGATTATTTATTTTTAAATAAGACAAGCTACACAACTATAATACTACCATGCACAAAACAAACTGGGGAGGTAAGGATATAATACAACCCTGCCAAAAAGGACCCTGTGGATGGGAAGCTGAACATGAGCCAGCAATGGGCCCTGGCAGCCTAGAAAACAAACCATATGTTGGGCTGCATCCAAAGCAGTGTGGCCAGCAGGGTGAAGGAGGTGATCCTGCCTTCTTTGAGGCCTCACCTGGAGCACTGCATCCAGATGTGGGGTCTTCAGTGCAGGAGAGACATGGACCTGTTAGAGTGCGTCCAAAGGAGGGTCACAAAAATGATCCAAGGAACACCTCTCCTACAAGGACAGGCTGAGAGAGCTGGGGCTGTTCAGCCTGGAGAAGACAAGACTCCCAGCTGACTTGAGAGCTACCTTTCAGTATCTAAAGGCGGGCTGTAAGAAGGAAGGGAAGAGACTCTTTTTAGCAGGGTCTGCTGTGACGTGACAAGGGGAAATGGTTTCAAACAAAAAGAAGGGTGATACAGATTTGTCACAAGGAAGAGGTTTTTTACAATAAGGGTGATGAGGCAGTGGCACGGGTTGCCCAGAGAGGTGGTGAATGCTCCGTCCTTGGAGACACCCAAAGTCAGGCTGGACGGGGCTCTGAGCACCTGATGGAGCTGTAGGTGTCCCTTTCACTGCAGGGGAGTTGGACAATATGACCTTTATGGGTCCCTTCCAACTCAAAAGCTATGCTATGCTATGCTATTTTATTCTATTCTATTCCATTCCGCTCTAAAGCACTGGGTTTATCCAAAGACCAAAGCCTGCCCCATTACAGTTCCTGCTCTTTGGAAAGGGGTGGAGGTTACCAGTGCTAACAACATGACATGGTTAAAAATGAAAGCACCCCCTTCTGTCAGCAGTCCTAACCGCAGAGCTGATTTATTACAGTTACAGAGCAGTTTGCAAACAGGAAAAGGAACTATTCTGGAAAACTCTTTAAAACTCAAAGCCAGCTATTTAATTGTCAGACAATGAGAAAAGAGTTTAGTTTTATCCATGGTTACTGCTTTTTGTGAAGTTTTCTGCATGCACATTTTCCAACCATCAATATTTTAAATTTTATCTGGAAACAAAAAAAATTAAAAATGCCACCTGTTCCTCAGTATAAAATAATGGA